GCATGTGGCCCGCTCCAATTCGTTGCGCAGCTCCAGTCCGCCGCGTGTGAGGCGAGTGGCGAATGTGCCGCCCGCTGTGCCTGAGGAAGAGCTGCCATCCGGCACGCCCACGCCTGGCTTTAAGCAACAGCATCTGCAGCAGCAGCAGCAGCAACAGCAGCAACCAATGCCACATAATCTTTTGTATACCAGTCAGCATATCCATTCACACTCACATTCGCATCCACATCCGCATCCACATTCCAATGGTGGGCTAACAGCTCCTTTGGCTGTGCGCACCGATCCGTTCCGGATGCCGCAGCAGCTGCAGCAGCAGCAACAGCAGCAGCAGCAGCAAACGTCGCCAGTCAGCTCAGTGGCCAGCTCGCATCACAACAACAATAATAATATTAACAACAACAATGGTCAAAGCTATCCAATGTATCCTGCCTCCCAGCAACAACCAAATCAGAATCCACATGCCAACAAAACAGCGCCAACAACAGCAACAGGAGCAGCAGCAGCAACGGCATCGCGTGCCAGCTCCAGCTCGAGTGGTAATGCTGCCGCCGCCGCCCTGGCTGCCCAGGCCCAAGCTCAGGCGCAACCAAAGCAGGAGCAAAGGCTGACGCACGAGCAATTCCGTGCTGCCTTGCAAATGGTTGTCTCCGCCGGTGATCCGCGCGAGAATCTGGAGAACTTTAACAAAATAGGCGAAGGCTCCACGGGCACTGTGTGCATAGCCACCGACAAGTCAACAGGTGGGTGATCAATCCGGATAGCTGAGCATTGCATATTAACTCATCCCTCTCGCTGTCTCTCCCTCTCTCTCTCTCTCTCTCTTAATCCCTTGGTAGGTCGTCAAGTGGCTGTTAAGAAAATGGATTTGCGTAAGCAGCAGAGACGCGAGCTGCTCTTCAACGAGGTGGTCATCATGCGTGACTATCATCATCCCAATATTGTGGAGACATACTCCAGCTTTCTGGTCAACGATGAGCTCTGGGTGGTCATGGAGTATCTGGAGGGCGGCGCACTCACCGACATTGTCACACATTCCCGCATGGATGAGGAGCAAATTGCGACCGTTTGCAAGCAATGCCTGAAAGCTTTGGCCTATTTGCATTCACAGGTGCGTGACCAGCATTTCCAACAGACAAGTTGCCAGCAAGCCAGAGCCAAAGCAAAGTTGTCAGCCAAAAGCCTCGCCCAATGTCTTTTCACTTCTCTTCTTTGCTGTCTGTGCACTCTTTCAATGCCTTTCTATTTTCGTTCTTTGGCGCTTTCTTCTTTTGCGACGTTTTGTGGTTTGGTTTCCATTTCCAAATGTCGCCCGTCGCATAGGTAATGCGATAGCCTGTTAAGTGGGCGCTTGGGGACGGCTGGGTCGTTGGGTGGTTGGCTTGGGTAGGGTTGGGTTGGCTACCTGGTTGGACGACCACAAATTTCGCTGACCCAAACCTTTGGCTGTAAATAGAAGTTCAGTTGAATGTGAATAATAGGCTTAGCCAGACTGTTCTTTAAGTATTTCCATATACATACCCGTATAATATATGTATATATTTATGCGCACAGTCATATTATATATTTAGATATGTAACTAGTCTACAGGTACATAAATATATGTGGTTCAAGAGGCATTTACTAGCGAACAATTGGAATCGACATTTTTCTTATCAAGGAATCAAACAGAGTTTAGAAATACTTAAAGGAAAACGTGAGGAGAGATGTAAAGTATGGAAGTGAGTTAGGGTAAGCAAAAGTAGGAGAGAAATATGGTAGGTGGGAGAAAGATAAACATGGGAGGTACCAAGATATAAATGAAAAGAGATCAAGAAAGATAGATAGAGAAATAGAGTAAGAGTGAGAATCAGAGCCAGAGAGATTCATGCAGAGAGGTCAGAAGACACAGAGAGAGAATGAGAAATGTAGAGATATAGAGAGTGATGCAGATATAGAAATAGAGAGGAAGAGAGAGAGAGATGCTGATACAGTGATAGAGAGACGCGAGCAGAAACAGTTCCAGACAGAGAGAGAGAGAACGAGAGAGCGAGAGAGATTAAAAGCGAGTGCTAGAGAGGTAGTTATAGAGAGAAAGAGAGAGGGAAAGCGGCCTATACAGAGAGAGAGTGAGAACAGAGAACACATCGAGAATTACAGATTCTTGAGAAAACACAACAAAAGATAAAGAGCGTTAACAGGATACAGCAGTAAGAGCAAAGTATAAAGATAGATATAACCTCATAGAACTTGAATAAGGCTAGACAATGCTATAAGTATATAGGGCAAGAGAGAGAGAGAGAGAGAGAGAGAGAGAGAGGTGACCTCGAAAGTTCCTTGCATGAAGTACAAGTAGAGTTAAATTAAGAATCGTTTATTATTTTATAGACCTATTCATTACAGGGTACCACTCAGTAAATTAAAAAGACAAGGTAGCCGAACTGCTTACAATTCAAAGCTTACCACTTAATATTTCAACTCTACTTAAATTCAAACCATTCCCATTCTCCACTCAATTTAGAACATAGCTTTATGGCTAGACAGAGCAACTCTTAGTTAACCTTACCCATTCTGAGCTAATACTAATTTCATATCCATTTCCGCTTGAAACAGGGCGTCATCCATCGGGACATCAAATCCGATTCGATACTCTTGGCCGCTGATGGCCGGGTGAAGCTGTCGGACTTTGGTTTCTGTGCGCAGGTGTCGCAGGAGCTGCCTAAGCGGAAGTCCTTGGTGGGCACACCCTACTGGATGTCGCCGGAGGTGATTTCGCGCCTGCCGTATGGCCCCGACGTGGATATCTGGTCGCTGGGCATAATGGTCATCGAAATGGTGGACGGTGAGCCGCCGTTCTTCAACGAGCCGCCGTTGCAGGCGATGCGACGCATTCGGGACATGCAGCCGCCAAATCTGAAGAATGCCCACAAGGTGTCGCCGCGTCTGCAATCGTTTTTGGACCGCATGCTCGTCCGGGATCCGGCACAGCGTGCAACGGCCGCTGAGCTGTTAGCTCATCCATTTCTGCGACAAGCGGGACCGCCGTCTCTCTTGGTGCCACTCATGCGCAATTCGAGGCATCACACCTGATGCTGATGACGATGACGATGATCCAATTGGGTTACATCTACTGCTCCCGCTCCAGCTGCTGTTGCCGTTGCTGCTGCCCTTGTTTCTGCTTTCTAGTTTACAAGCTCCACTTAATGTAGTATTATTCCATATTTTCGTTTCGTTTTTTTTTTTTTTATACGGCTACACGGCAATTGCTACTTAAACTGTTAACCAGCCACACCTCTAACATCCCACACATACACGCTTCATCCAGATCCATATCCACATTCGTATTTTATTTGTTTACTTTCTGTTAAGCATTTTATGTTGGCTACAGCAAATATTTTTTATATATATATATATAGAAACCCAAAACATATTTTTATTCAAAAGCTAAAAAGTACGCTCTATAAGTCATAGCCACGCCCCCAATTTGTAATTTATAATGATAGATAACAATCTATGGCTATATCTATAACTAAATCTATGTCTACGTCTCTATAACTAAGCTCCAACGAGAATGTGCCTTGTGACTAGGAAACATTGAAATATTGAAATATGAAATATTATATATATATATGTCTGCAACGCCATTTGGTTAAAGCTAATACTCGATCGTTAGTGTTCTGTATACATATATATATACTTATATACGCATATATATTTGCAGACCAAATTCGAGTTCAAGATCTGTTCGAAATGCTAATTTTAACTCACAGAAAGCGGGCAAATTTCTTGTCAATACATAAAAATGCTTTTACACATTTATTAATATTATTTAAAATAAAAATACTATATATGTATCCATATATACATACATATATACACGCTGAGTTGGAATATATTTAAAAGAAAAGCAAATGTCGAAGCGAATATAGTACTTAATGTCTAAATATAGAGAGACAACGAATTATGCAGATATATATAGAAATATATATAAATTGCTCACATTCAACGAATAGCAACTTTTATATACATGTTTTATATATGTATATATATGTGTATACAAAGCTGTATTTATATATGCATATATATACATACACATATATATATATTTATATATATATAGCCTATGTATAGCAATTATTTATATCATACATAAGTTTTGATTATACAAAATTTTTTACATTTTTTTTAAAGTTTACCGAAAGTTTGCGGTTTCCATAATTGTGAATTGTTAAAACACAAGAAGTAATACATTCCCCCGCCCCACACGTAATTGGAAAAGTTTCCATTATAAGCTGATTTTTTTACAGTGTTCTGTAATTATTAACGAATAAAATACACAAGTATTGAAACGAAAATTGTATATTGTTTTTTTTTTTTTTTTTATTTTCAGAATTTTTTTAATAGAAACTTTATATCAAAATATACAAAGCAAAGCTCAAGACAATACCGAAAAAGAAATTCAAATATCACATTCTATATTTTCATCCTAGAATACTTCTCATATTCGAAACAGCTATATAATGGCGCGCTGAGAAGGAGAGAAGGAAACTGCTTTACCGGCTATAACCGGTTCGGCCTACAGTCTTGCTTGGCTTCAGCTAATCTGAACCGGTTCAAGCCAGAGTATCAAAAGTTAACGCAAAAGATTGAAAATAAATACAAAAATTTGGTTTAACAATTTTTTTTTTTGTAATATTTTTTTTTATTTATTTATAATGGTTGTTTTTTGTTTGTTGTTGTTTTTGTGTTGTTGCTTTAGGTATTATTATAGTTTGTTTATTAATTGAAGTGTATGCGTGTGTATGTGTGGGTGTGCGCTGATATATGAGCTATAAATATTCCAATGCAAATATATATACACAAATACAAGCGCACAAAGGCAAGTGGGAGAAGGTTGTGGTATATGTGTGAGTGAGCAATGAGCGGTGCATGCACGTTACTGTGTGTGTGTGAGTTTGAGCATAAAATACATAAATAAACGCACACACACAGGCGTACATGCACTGGCGCCACATGTTGAAAAAAAAATGTACTAAAAACTAAACAGGCAGAGCTTGAGCTGCCCTTAGCTAGCAATGAGTGTGAGAGAGACAGTGTGTGCGTGTGTGTGTGTGTGTGTGTGTGTGTCAGCTGATTATGTATGTATATTAATTGTATGTATGCATGTATGCATGCTAGCAGGCCAAGCTTGAGCTGTCCTTGGGCTAGTCATGCATGTGAGCGAAAGGCAAAGGGAGAGAGCGAGAAACGGAGGGAGTGGAACAGTGTGTAACATAACTGTTAAGCTACAGTGCCTTAAAAAAGTGTGTAGATGTATGCATGTAAGTTAGCTTAATTGCGTTTCCTCAAGGCCAGGCGACTGCTGAGCGGACGCTTGAGCTTGGGCTCCTCTTCCTTCTGCTGCTGCTCCGATTCCTCGGCAGCGGTGTCCACCTCCGGCTCCGCCTTCACTGGCTTCGACGGCTTGCGACGATTGACTGCAAAAGTGAAGTTAATGTGAATGCGAAATTCGATTTGGGATTCAGCATCACTTACGTGCCGAATTGCTCTTGTAGCCGCCCTTGGCGTGGCCAGCGGCGGGTGCAGCCGGTGCCGGTGCCTGGGCGCTGGCAGCCTCATCATGGTCAGCGGGCTCCTCCTCGGTCTTCTTGGCAGCTGGCTTGCTGGCCGCCGGCTTCTCGTTGCGATGCTTCTTGGCGTTCTGCTGGCGGCGCTTCAGCGAATTGAGGAAATCATCGTTGGAGCGGAAGGGACGGATGACGGGGCCAACCTTTTTGGGCGGCTCCGTTGTGGTGGTCGTGGAGCTGGGGCCGCTCTCCTCCTGCTCATCGCCGTACTGGCTGCCAGCGCCGCCGGCACCCTCCTCATTGTAATCATCCTCCTCGGCGCCATCGTCGTTGGCCGGCGCCGCTGTTGTCGTTGTCGTTGGCTTAGCCGCCTTGCCCACGGGGCGACGCAGTGCAGCGATTCTCTTTGCCGGCGAAACGTTGCCAGCACCCTCCTCCTGGGCGGCAACCAGGCCGTAGCACAGTGCGCAGATAATGAAAAGCAGGCAGCTATTGCAAAAAAAAGAGCAAAGTAAAATCAATTTAAGGTTATGTTGAATATTTTAGGTTATGAGCACTATGCTATTTAATGAAGATAGTTACTTTGATTATTACGATAAGAGAAAAAAAGCTATAAAAAAAATGTACAGTATGAATTGAAGGTATAAGGAAATAATATTCCTTATCTTACAGGTTATGTAGAAGGCTTACGAACAAATGGTTTTTGTTTTGTTGAATAAGAATAGCTTTAAAGAGTTGCAAAACTGAGGCTATATCCATATATTGTAGTTACATTTGCTATTCATAAAGGTCTTAGTAGAGCTCTAAGCTGAAGGGGTTAGGAAGAATAATAATTCCGGTTTTTCCTATAGGCCTAGAGATTTTTGCTTTTCTTATGTATGCATGTTTGGCTACTGTAAGCCGGCTTGACTTGGAAACGTCGGCAGTATACGACCATCACATACCCCTTCATTTATTTGATGTATGATACTTATTTATTTATGACTGCGATCACAAATATATCGAAAATAGGAAATGATTAATGTTTATCAATTTTATAGGAAATCTTATGCAAATGTCATGAAAAATTTGAATTTTTTAATTACAAGATTCAAAATCAATTCTCTAAATCGATACTATCGATAAATGGTAAATATGGATGAATAAAGTGACGAACAACTCGTTCAACAGATCAATAAAATATATAAGATGCCATCTTGTGTCTTTCGTCACGCACACCCTTGAAACTAATATACCTTGCAATGGGAACAGAGTATATTATTTTTGCAAAGAAAAAAAAAAAAGTGAAATGAAATAAAAGCTATGAGCTCGCTGTTCGCAATCCGAAATATGTTGCCCAACGAGCACGAGGCACAATACATGTACATATATAATATATAGATTTTATATGTATTTACATATTATTATAGTATATATATTATTTATATATAAGTATATATGCATATGATATCTTTACAGTCTGGTTGAACGGGTTGTGCTGAGAACCTGAACCGGACTTGGTTAATAAAAATAAAAAAAAGACATAAACACGTCTCATAACTATATCTATCTACTACTATATATACACATATATACATATACATATATATCAGTTAGACCATAAAGATATGTATGCCTCGACGGCTGCTGCTGCTGCTTCTTCTTCCTCTTTTGGCGCCGCTGTGCTAACAATTATTAATGCTTTAAGGTCAGCTAAACGGGTTTTAGCTTTTATTTTTCACATTTTGCTTCTTTTTTTCTCATTCACTTTCGATTTCAAATTTATAAGTTAGCGCAGAATGAAACAAAAGACTTAGGCAGCGAACTTGTTTTGAAATACTTCTGGCCTGGACGCGCGCCCGCTTAGACATAGGCTAAGGTTAGTAGTACTGTGTAAGTAGGCACACCCACACAGATACAGGCTCAGGAACAGGTACAGGTACAGACCACCCCCCCTCCCCCCCTTCCCCTCCTTTGGGCAACAGGTGCTTATGCAAAAGGCAACAGCAACGGCAGCAATGGAAACCTGTTGCTCGTAGCCAGAATAAATTTGAATGCGCGCCTGCTGGTTGGTTAATAACGGTAAAATGTGCAAGCCACATTCAAATACAGCTGCCTGAGCAGGGAGAGGCCCCAGTCACGCCCCGCAGCCCACAGTCGCCCAGCTAGCGAAGACAACAGCTGCAATGGCCGTTAGCTATTATTGCTGTTGCTATTGTTGTTGCTCTTGTTGCTGTTGTAGCTGTTGCTGTTGTTGCTGTCGCCGGCGGGTTGCATCTTTTCGCATTGATTAGGGTCAACCGTGTGGCATGTCCAAGCGACTCTTTGCATTTCAATTGGACTTATGCAACCGCAGACTCATGGAAAGGTGAAAGGCGTGTTGCTGTTGTTGTGGGTGCGTGTTGCTGGCGTGCCTGGAATCAATAACAGTTGCTGTTGTTGCTGCCGTTGCTTGTACTATTGCTGTTGCTGCTGTAATTGCTGCTGCTGCTGCTGCTTCTGCTTACTTCTTAATCGAAATTCAAGTCAAGCCATGTCCAAGTCTATATGACATTTGGCTTTGAGCTCAACCGGTTTGCTTTTTGGCATTTTATAAAGCTAGATCGTTGGGGAGGGGGGCAAAAAAACTATTAGAGACAATGCTATACACACTTATACACACACACTTACACACATTTCTAAGCCAAGCCTCGTTATATAAGAGCAGCATTAGTTGCAAATTTATGATAAGCAAAAGCTGTCAAGAATCAATAAGTGGAAGGCGGAACCACATGCTCAATGATGCCGCATCATTATCATCATCATCATCATCATTGTCAACAACATCATCATCAGCAGCAGCAGCAGCATCTCAGCATCATTATAGATACCATAATAATAAGAGCAGCTACCGACTATCCACATACCCTCTAATAGCAGCTGCATGCATCTCCTTTGCCGTCTTATATTCGCACTCTTATACGCTCACTCACTCTTATACGCGGCCTGTGAACCGAACTGGTTCCATTTCGTAATTAATATGATTTGAATTTTTATGTATTATGAAATATGTTATTTAAAATGAAAAAAAAAAAAAAAAAAAATAAATCAAATTAAATTGAAAATTGATTTATTAAACTATTTTTGCACTCTCAGCTAAAAATTAATTTATTTTTTAAAACAAATTTTAGAGAATTTAAATTTTTAGCTAGTTGTGAGAATTGAGTTAAAATAGTTTTTATAGTTATTCATATTATTCATGAAAGGGAAATGAATAATTTATATTGGGTTGGAGCTAAGTAGTTGGAGACCTGAAGCTTGAATTGAACACCGTGTATACCCTCGTCTGATAAAACGTCTAGACTTTTCCGACTCGCCCACTAGGTGCATGACTAATACATTTGGAAAACGCATTTGAAGTGCTATAGAGCTGGAATTTGCAATACCTACTCAAGTTGACAGCACAAGTTCAAAAAGACGGGGAAATTCAAAAAGATATGGCGGATGATAAATCGGATAAAGCTGTATTTGCTGTAGCTTTACAGAAGCTCAAAATTTACTATTGACATTCTCTATTGATTGATTTGATCTGCACAAAAATAATATACATATATATAATTAAAATATTTTTTACAATAAATGTAGTTTTAAATCTAAAATATTAGAACTTTTAGTTTTCTAAAATATATTAGTTTTCAAATAGATGCAAACTCATAAAAGTTGGGGTAGGCTGCATAGTTAGCATACACACATATTTAGTATATAGTGTATGCATGTGTGTGTATATATTGAGGGGTATTTAAAGCAACTCAAAGTGTTTGCGTTTCAAGTCAGCGCCTCGAAGAGCTTATTCAACAAAATGGCAAAAAACTTTTAAGACTTTTGCTTTGTTTAAGCATCGGTATATATATATAGCACATATGGGTATATATATATATATTGTATATTATCACATGATTATGATTCGCATATGCGGAATTAGTTCATGGCGATGACGCCATCAGCCGAAAACGAGCTAAAAAAAAAAAAAAAAAAAGAAGCGAATTTGATTGGCAATAGCCATGCCCTCAGCTATGCAAAACGGGTCACTATGCTAATTGCCCAACTATATCTGGAGTTTGAGACAGCCGTAGTCATAGCTAAATATATACATAGTTATTTGTATGGGTATATGGGTATATAGGTATTTGTGGCATGGCGTTTCTAATAGTTCAAAACACAATTACGAACACTTGAATGACTTAAAGAAAAACGTGCACAATTGTTGTTGTTGTTGTTGTTGCTGTTGTTGTTGTTGTTGCTGTTGTCGCGTTAAGTGGGTTCAATAACGGTGCATTGTGTACGTGTTGCTGCCGCTACTGCTGCTGCTGCAGTTAGCCCAATCAGTTAGTCAAGTCGGCAAGCCAAGCCAAGTTCGTTGCCTGAGTCTTTTGATTTGTGTTACAGTTTCTTTATATGCTGTCGCTGTTGTTGTTGTTGTTATTGCTGACTTACATTGAATTTGGCTTATGAAATGCACACACACACACACGCACACTCATCATGTTGCCAATTCGCACAGTCCTTGAAAATCAGTTTAAAATACCAAAAGACAAAAAATTGTCTTTTTGTCTACAATTTTTTATTTTTGGCTCGCAAAATCCACTAAAATGAGTGTGTGAGTGTGAGTGTGTGTGTGTGTGTGTGTGTGTGTGTGTGTGTGTGTGTGTATTCTGGTTTGGCTTTTTGGCATGCACATGATCTGATCTCTCTTATTTAAATAATATTGCATAATGCGAGCGATTTGTGTGCGCCAAAAATGAAATGAAACGCATGTAAAACGACAGCAGCAACAACAGCAACATCAGCAGCAACAACAACAACAGCACTCAAAACTACAACAACAACAACAAGATACAACACCCCAAAAAGCAAGCGAAACTAAATTTAAATCCTGATCTTGCCGTCAAATTGGCGCTTGTTGCTGGCGTCTGCTGTGTTGCTGTTGCGGCTGCTGCTGCTGCTGCTTTTGTTGTTGTTGCTGGCGTGATTAATTCGCGCTATGCGATTAACATACATATTATATATATTTATTTATATGTATATGTATGTATGTGTCTGTCAGCTTGCATTAAGAGTGCAACCGTTAATTTATAAGACAACAACAACAGCAGCAGCAGCAGCAGCAGCAGCAGCAGCAACAGTTGCAACTGCAATTGCTTGGTAATTAATCCAATACACTACCACAGAGCCAGCTGCCCAGCAGCCAATTGTGTTGTTGTTGCTGCTGCTGGCGTGCAGGCGACAATGGGTAGAGCAGCAGCAACGGTAACAGACGGCAACAGCAACAGCAACAGCAGACGGCAGCATCAGCTGGCGACCTTGAAACATTTCTTTCAATCAATGCACTGACAGCTGGACAGACAGACGCTTCTCACAGCAAGTTGATTCTGCTTATGCTGTTGCAATTGCAACGGCAATTGCAGCTGGGAAATGCCATTTGCCATTTCTTTGTGCCGGCAAATGTCACAAGGCAACTGCTGCAATAGCAACGGCAACAGCAACGGCAACAACAACAGCGAATAGCGAACAGCAACAGCAACAAATGATAATCAACTTCGGCATTTTGCTTGAGACGTTGGCGTGTTAAAGTTCAGTTCAGGCATTCGGTTCACATACATTTGTTGCACCTACTTTCAAGCAACAAGTCGTGCCCAAATTATAGGAAAACAAGAAACACGCCAACAACACGACGTGCAAATACCCTGTAAACAGCTAATTTAGCTTCAGCTAAAATAGATTCAATTTTTGTTCAATTTGAATGAATACACTGTAAAAAATGAGTAAGAACAACGAAGGTAGCTAGATTAAATAAATAAAATACTGTTCAAATACCAGATTTGCTCAAATCCTGTAGATAAGTATATAGCAATAGCCACAGCTCTACAATGGATATTATGAAAAGAAATAAATATTGCAAATTTGATATATGTATAAATATGATCTAGATCCACTCAAGATGCAGCATACCAAGTTTCAGAGTGGTAGCACTAGCAGTGCCCGAATTATATGGGTCTGCTGCTGGAAACTCCACGGCTGCACTTCAGCTAAATCCTATAGATAAGTATACTATATAGCAATAGCCACAGCTCTACAACAACAGTGGATATTATGAAAAGAAATAAATATTGCAAATTTGATATATGTATAAATATGATCTAGATCCACTCAGGATGCAGCATACCAAGTTTCAGAGTGGTAGCACTGGCAGTGCCCGAGTTATATGGGTCTGCTGCTGGAAACTCCACGGCTGCACTTCAGCTAACTAAAGTATTTCAGCATGAATAGCTTAAGAATAGCTGGCAGCACTGGCATTACCAGTTGCACAGAGTAATAGCTAAGCTTATTTCGACATAATTCGAACAGGCTAAAAATAAAACCAGAACTGAAATTTTTTTTTTTAATTTAAAACACGTCAGCAAAAAAATACAAAAAAAAAAAGCAAAATTAATTTTAAAAATATATATAGTATATATTGATATATATATACATATATGTAAATCACTCACATGTTGAAGTACTTCATTTTGTATGTGTGTGTGGGAATATTTTAAAAAACTTGGAAAAAAAAGCTTGATTCGAATTTGAAAACGCGCGAAACGAACAAAAAATTCACGACGATTTTATTTGATTTATTTTCGGGCTGCAGGCACTGGGGAGGACTGAATGTGCGAGTGTGTGTCTATGTGTGTGTGGTGTGCTGTGTGTGTGTGTGTGTGCGTGGAGTTTGGAGACTTTTATTGTGTGTAGAGAGATGTGTGTGTGTGGGGCACAACTGAGAGTGCTGAGCGCTGGAGTTAAGCTTAAGCCACCGATCACGATCGACTTCTAGAGGCTGACTGAACGTTACTTATGCCGTGTGCATGGAGTTAACCTACCCGGCCATCCAATATTTTTCTGGCAGCCAGCAGTGCCAGTCGATGTAGCTGTTGTTTCTGTTGTTGTTGTTGCTGTTTTCTTCTCTTTTCTGTTATCTGTTGTTTTTTTTTTCTGCCACAGCGACGCCAGCAACAGCAACAGCAACAGCGACGAACAACAGGTTGCTGCTCGCCCGCCCTAAGCCAGCTAACCAACTGTAAATGACGGCAGCGGCAGCAGGAGGCGAGGCTAGGCGTGGCAGTGGCCGGGGGGGTGGTAGAGCTGGGATTGGGGCAGACCATGTTCGTAATTATATGCAAAGAGTGCATGGCGCACTTCTGGTTTGCCAGCCAATTTGTCATTGCTGCTGTCGTGACGCCTGCGTCGCTGTCACTGTTGCCGTTGCCGTTGCCGTTGCTCGGCCTCTGCTCCGGTCTCTGCCTCGGCCGCTGCTTATGCTGACAGCGCTGCCAGCGCCAGTTGGTGGCTTTTGACAGGTTTGCTTGGGTCTTTCGGCGTCGCAGCTGAAGCCGAAGCTGAGCTTTTATTTTATTGTTGTTGTTACTTTTTAGTATACACCCTGTAAACATATGATTAGACGAAGTGGGTAGATGGAACAGCTGCAAGTGCTAGTGTATAAAGACCCTATGAAGACTAAGCAAAAAGCGGCTCCAAATTTACAGCGGAAATTCATTCCTCGTGTTGCTAGCTGAAAAAAAAAAACAGTGTTGTAAACTGACCACACTCAATGCAAATTTTATAGTATTTTTATTTTTGGTATTTCTTTCTGCAGCAGGCTGTAAATATGTACTTAAAATTAACCATTTTGGACAAGTGGAGACTTGACATGATTGATTGGAGAGTAATGCTTGACTGTAAATCAACAAGTGGAGAGATTTTAAACTTGCAGAGCACAATATTTATATATTTTGGACATTATATGTTGAACATCATTAGAGGCAGATTTAGGTATTTTAAAACTAGACTGAAAGCGAACTTAACAAAAAAAGCACAGTTTCCCTTATTACTTATACTACAATACTTAAAAGCACTGTCTTACAGGGTATTTGACGGTGTGCATCTTGTCGCCTCTTACATTCTTTGCGAGCATCAACTTCATTTTTCTTTTCATTTCAGTTATTTATTTCATTTTTAAATTTTTAATTAAAACAACTTTTTTTTTGTATTTTTTACGAATTTTTATTAATTAATTTATTGATTTTTGGGGCAATTGTTGTTGTTGTTGTTAAACACGTCGTCTGGTAAATCCCGAGTACCAAATCAAGATGCGGCGTGTAATACAAAAAAAAAAAAGAAGAAATATCCAGATTTACATATATGTACATATCTAATTTATATATATACATATATCTATATCCATATTTGACACATATATTTATTTATATTTATATAATTTGATTCATATGCCATATTGGCATGGCCTTGAACTGATTCGCATTCGAAGTCAAAGAGAGAGAGAGAAAAAAAAAACATATTTTTGGCGCGGGCCAAACTTTAATAATTAATAATTACGCTAATGACAATGTTAATTATAATGTCAATGATGGGACTAATGCCCATGATCATGGCTTAATGAGCACTAACCAATCATATACCACACTTGGCCAGATGTTCTTCTGGCCAAAGACTAAAAAACAGAAAATATTGTTTGTATACAAAAAAAGAAGCAAATAAATTAAATTAAAATAAAAGTAAAAAATAATAAAAATAAAAAATCAATTAACAACTGGCCAACTTACCTTGAACTACAAAATATCAATGCAGCCTGAGAGGGGTGGGGCAGGGCGGTAGGTGTTAAAGGGAAGGCGGGGAGGGTCTCAGACATGCAGACAGCCGAGGGAAGTGCCCAGTCCATCACGTATGCTGCTAGATACGACTACCAGCTACCCTGTAACGTCAAATTCGTAGTTTCAGCTAATCCAAACTCTATCAACTCTAAGAATTATCGATGTTTAAGAAAATCTTCAATTATTATTATTTACTAAATATCTCTAAGTCTCTAAGTTTCCGAATCTAAGAACTTCGTCTGTCTTCATTGTCACACAACACAGCTAACTCGTTTACATTCTTCCAGGGTAAACTAGACAGATAAAACAGTTTTTTATCAGCCTATAAAACTATTAAAAAAAAGAAACAAAGAAAATCATAAACAATAAACAATAAAAAAAAAACCTTGTTCAGCGAGCGATGACACTGAAATCAAATCGACTCAAACTAGAAAAAAAAAATGTTTTAATCTGTATTTTGAATCGCATCGTATCGAATCGATTCGAATCGCATGCAAATGCAATCCGAGGCAATCAATGGAAGAAGTCATTTATCTAATCTAATATTCATATCATATTTCTCTCTCTCACTATCTATTTATCACATTTCTGAGTCTGTCTCTTTTCAGATTACAACGTATTAATAATTTTTATGATATGTAAATGTCGATTCAATGGGCCAGAGCCAAGCTTAAGCCAAGCCCCGATGCGAGCGTTGCGAACAGGAATGCAGCATGAGGAACGTGGAATGGGGCACATGAAGAAGAAGAATGTGGGAATAGGAAACAATAAATCGGGAAGGAGGAATGTGGAATGTGGAAAAACAAGAGAGCAAGGAAAGTGAAATGAGAAACGGTGGAAGTGGAACAAGAAGAAGAGTAACGAAAGCTGTGGAATGACGGTACAAACACAAACAGTGAACAATAGATATGGAACAGTTGGAAATGTGGAATTAATAATGAAGAGTGAGAAAACCAAAAAACAAAGAGAACGAGGACTGTGCAAGAGCAGAACAAGAACCGAGAAACGTGAAACGAGAAACAGAAAAGGGACGATAAACGAATGAAATACGTAATATTAAACGAGGTACCAAACATAATTAATCTCGGGAGTGAAAAAAGGGCAAGAGTATTATGGAAGACAATTACTATGTGAGAACCTAAATGGAGAGATCAGTAATAGCTCATGAATATATTTAAAGACATTGAATGGTCAACCAAACTCAAGACTAAGACAAAAGATTGGGGATTTGGTTGTTGTTTTTTTCTGAAAATATATATGATCATCGACTATTTACTTACCTTATGAACCTTATAAATAGAATAAAGACAACAATATTACATTTCTTGAGATATTTAGTCAACATTTATTCGTAGTGATTGCTTCCATTTGCATTAAGTCAGACTTGCTAAGAGCTTAGACTAGAGTTAAGTATACAGTTTGTTTTGGTTACATGTGATATAGATACATTGTATGATATATGCGTATATCTTAAGATAATTTCATTTATTTTCATTGAAATGCCATTCCATGGCATTGACAATACGAAATCGTTTCCGAAAGCTGTTGAAAAGCCGTTGGGACAGTCTCAAGTTGTTGCTCAGATCCAGAACCGAGCTGCTACTAGATCGAAATTAAACAAAACTCCATATATAAAGAACAAAAAATAATCAAACTAATTCTAATAACTAGGGAAATACATTTGTAACTCTATTTCGGATAGAGCAGTAGCAATTAGGCCAGATAGAATCTTTATCTGATATATACTGTTTGTATCTGTATATTCAAGATATCGATAGGGTCAACATGCTTTGCATTCTTATAGACAGACAGACGGGTGGATGGGCAGAGCAGAATGAACTGGCAGAGGGGCAGATAAGCACTGAATATTTCAATGGATCGATAGGCGAAATATATATGTAGATCGATAAGTGGACAGAGGAACATTTAACAGAAAGGAATTAAAGCTAAACAAAAGTTGAATAGATAAAAATAAAATAAAAAAATTGTATTTGTTTTAAATTTTTTACACATTACTTTATTTGCTCGTAGAGTTGCGCTTGGGCAAATCTATTCGACTTTCAGAGACATTTAATTACATACGCTTTCTTTTTATTTATACTAGCAATAGTATTAAACATAAACGTAATACGACTAATAATAAAAATAATAATAATAAAATTGTAATAAAAATAGAAATAAAAAATAAAGCAAAGCAGCGCTTTCGATCAAAGTTCTTTGTTTTGTTTTGTTTTTTTTTTTAGTTTCCACTAAAGACTAAAAGAAGTCAAAATTGTATGTAGAATGTTTCTTGTATTAGCAGCGATAACACTTATCGATGATGCGATCGATTACTTTTCGCATTGTAGCATTTTGATTTCTCTTTTCGTTTCATTTGCTTTCGTTTTATTTCGTTTCAGTTTTTTTGTTGTTGCCAAATTTCATATATAGAGTTTTTAGGCACACTTCGATAAGTATCTAATATATATGTATATATAAAATATGTTTGTTTAATATGAGAAAAATATGTCCAAGACTTCAAAAATAATCGAATTTCGTGATAAATGCAATAATTTGCTTCTTTGTAGAAAAATTCCTTTATCCCCCCCTAAATTACCACTTACATTTGTTAAACAGCGCTCACATTTTATACACTTAATACATAGACACACACACACACACACACACACATATATATACATTCACACATAATCAAAAACAGAAATAATACAGAATTTTTCGTTTTGGACAAAGATTCGTTTAGTTAACGCCTGCTGTCCGCTAGGTGGCGCCAACACACTCACACGAACACACACAAACACAGAGAGAGACAAAATAAATAATTTGTTTATAACTTAACAACTAAAACATATTTGATATTTAATACTTAGATGTAGCCTTTACACACAAACACAAGAAAAAATCTTGTGCCATGTTTTCTTCTTCTTTTCTTGTTTTTAATATGTTCGTTTACTGTTCATAACTCGCTAACTAGCTCCCTCTCTTGCGCTCTTAAGTAACTGCGTTATGGTTTCTCTATCTTTTATCTCTTTCTCTTACATTTTCTTTCATTTATTTAGTTTTGGAAGTATTATATGGAATTCAAGTGTACGATTTGTCACTAACTTTAGCTGCCAAGCGACTTAAGTATTTGATGTATAGATGTACATATATAAAAAATATATATATTATTGAT